CAGAGCCCAAGGCCAAGTTAATAGGAGTACATAATCAGAAAAATGGAAAGCCAAAGCCCAAGCTAATGTTCATAACTCCAGAATTTCTTGTCAGAATTAGTTCAAACTTCCTACATGTGAATTTAAGTATATTTACCTTGTAATGACGTCATAGAAGATTTCAACAACAAATCAATTGTTTTAGGATCAGCCACACCCACCAGTGGTACAGAGTAATGTAGTGTAGGAACGGCATCAGGTGATCCATACACTGATACCAGACAAGATGGAAGAAGATCTTTAGTAAAACTAAATCTATCAACTTGATCTTTGAGTAACTATATAATAATATGCAGCTGTCAAATATAAACAAAAACTTTACATACTTTAGTGGAATGAGGTTCAATAGTCCATCCAGTGATTGACTGATCTTGAGGAGCATCAAATATCAATTCAATGTGATCATGATTTGAATCAAAATCAAAACCAATCAGTTGATTGATTCTAGCTAATGGATACTGATTCTCAATACACTGTATAGAGAGAGTATATAATAATCATTAAACTCTTGATTACAAATATTATAACTTACAGTTATAGCATTACTGATATCCTTGAGTCTTGCTGCAGTGAATATTACCAAATGTTGATCTTCCTTCTTCTCATGATACACCAGTCCAGTATAAGGTGCTATACATTAATACAATAGTTAGTTACACTGTACAATATGGTACATACCAGATGGTGGAGCAGTGCTTTTTAATGTTCTATGAATAAATAATGTAACAGGATCAACCACACCCACCAGTGGTACTGAGTAGTGTAGTGTAGGGACAGCATTAGGTGATCCTTGAAATGATATGAAACAATATGGAGGAATAGACTCATCAGTTCCATCAAATGAATCAATATCCTTTTGATATAACTAATGGAACTGAATCAATTAATAAACTAATATATTAATAATCTTACTCTGCAAGGTTTAATTAATGGAATGACAGTCCAACCAGTTGATGGTTTCTCATTAAAATTCAATTCAATAAAACCATTGGACCATTTGAAATGAAAATAATAAATTGGACCAATGTCAGCAAAACGATGATGATCTTTGATGTACTATATAATTAAGTTTAGTAAATTAAATTACTATTATTATTAGCATTATTATTATTATTATTATTATTATTATTATTATTATTATTTACTTCAAGAAGAGCAGCCAACATTTTAACTGGTACAGCAGTGAAATATACAAAAGAATTCTTCTCATAAAACATCAGACAAGCATATCCTTCACAAGATCTACTGTCTTCTTGTGCATAATGCTGATCCATATATCCCTTTAAGTATAAAGCACTTATTTGTAAAATAAGTACAATTATGAACAACTTACTTCTTCTGCTTCCTCCTCACTCTGTAATGATTC